AATTAATTCGACTTACGATAATTTCGTCTTATAATGTGCTCTCAGGAACGGATTAATATTGTAAGTTGGGGGTCCACTGTATAAAGATATATAAAAAGTGACCTGAAATAATATAATAAACACCATATAAAATATAATATCAGGGCCCCAATTATATATATATATACACCATCCTATTGCACATCCCTCCAAACTGCTACTATCCCAATCCCCTCCTTTAAAGTGCAGAGTGCAGGCATTGTACTTCCCATTTCCAGAACTCAAGTCAGGCTAAATATGTTTGTGTGTGTTTAGTAGGTTGGTAGACAGCAGCCACCCAGGGAGGTACTACCGTCCTGCCAAGCGAGTGTAAAACGAGAGCCTGTAATTGTTTCACATGAGGGTAGGATTGCTGGTGTCTTTTGTCTCTCATAAATGTGCAAGATTTCAGGTATGTCTTGCTACTTCTACTTACTTAGGTCACAGTAAACATACATGTACACGTTTATTTATACACACTCGTCTGAGTTTTCTTTGATTTTATCTTAATAGTTCTTGTTCTTATTACTTTTCCTTTTATATCCATGGGGTAGTGGAATAAGAATCTTTCCTCCGTAAGCCATGCGTGTTATAAAAGTCGACTAAAATGCCTGGAACAATGGGGTAGTAACCCCCTTTTCCTGTACAGATTACTAAAAAGAAGAATAAGAAAATTGTCAGTGGGATGTCTGAATGTGTGGATGTTGTGCAAATGATAAGAGAGATGATTGTGGATGCTTTGAATGAGAAGCTGGATGTCCTGGCTTTAAGTAAAACAAAGCTGAAGGGGGTGGGAGAGTTTCAGTGGAGAGAAGTAAATGGGATTAGGTCAGGGGTTTCAAATAGTTAGAACTAAATAACAAGAAAAGGCGCAATACCGTGACTGGAACGATACACAAATAACCCGCACATAGAAGAGAGGAGCTTGCGATGACGTTTTGGTCCGACTTGGACCATTTACAAAGTCACACTAACCAGAAGTGGAGCAGGACGGCTATATAGAGGAGGAGATGGAGGAGGAGGAGATGGAGGAGGAGGAGATGGAGGAGGAGGAGATGGAGGAGGAGGAGATGGAGGAGGAGGAGATGGAGGAGGAGGAGATGGAGGAGGAGGAGATGGAGGGGAGGAGATGGGGGAGGTGAGGGAGGAGATGGAGGAGGAGGAGATGGAGGAGGAGGAGATGGAGGAGGAGGAGATGGAGGAGGAGGAGATGGAGGAGAGATGGAGGAGGAGGAGGGGAGGAGGAGGAGATGGAGGAGGAGGAGATGGAGGAGGAGGAGGAGATGGAGGAGGAGGAGGAGGAGGAGATGGAGGAGGAGGAGGAGATGGAGGAGGAGATGGGGGAGATGGAGATGGAGGAGATGGAGATGGAGGAGGGATGGAGATGGAGGAGGAGGAGATGGAGATGGAGGAGGAGGAGATGGAGATGGAGGAGGAGATGGAGATGGAGATGGAGAAGATGGAGATGGAGGAGGAGGAGATGGAGATGGAGGAGATGGAGATGGAGAGGAGGAGGAGATGGAGGAGTGGAGGAGGAGGGAGATGGAGATGGAGGAGGAGATGGAGATGGAGATGGAGGAGGAGATGGAGATGGAGGAGGAGGAGATGGAGATGGAGGAGGAGGAGATGGAGATGGAGGAGGAGGAGATGGAGATGGAGGAGGAGATGGAGATGGAGGAGGAGGAGATGGAGATGGAGGAGGAGGAGATGGAGATGGAGGAGGAGGAGATGGAGATGGAGGAGGAGGAGGAGATGGAGATGGAGGAGGAGATGGAGATGGAGGAGGAGGAGGAGGAGGAGGAGATGGAGATGGAGGAGATGGGAGAGGAGGAGATGGAGATGATGAAATAAAGGAGGTGCCCTTCGCATCTGTGATCCTCAGTTCCTTCCAGCAGAAATTTCCACTCTATAATTCGTTTTCCCGTCTTGGCTACCCTACCCATTTCATAGACTCTGCCTTCTCACGTGCTAAACGTAATTTCTTCTCTCCCAAACTCTCTACTCCTGGGAACTCTTCTGTCCTCTGCCTTCCCTACATTTCCGGTCTTTCTAATCTCAACAATTCTCTCCGTCCCTTAGACATCAAGCTTACTTTCCGCCAGACTAACACTCTTCGCACTAATCTCGTTCATACTTCTCCTCCCTCGACAGATGTTCCTGGTGTCTACTCTATTTCTTGCTCCTCCTGTCCTCTTCAATACTTTGGAGAAACTGGCTGATCTCTTTCTGACAGACTTAGGGAGCACAAAAATAGTGTTAGGCTTGCCGACACTAACAATGCTCTGTTCTGTCAGGTCAGAGATCACAGCCATCCCATTGACTGGTCTTCCTCTAAAACTGTCTTCCCTACTTCCAACTCTTACAGTCGCCGTCTAGTTGAATCCTCTCTAACACAATTTTCCTTGTATGAATCTTAGTCCTGGCTTTGTCTCTGTAGATGCCTTCCTCTCCCACTACATTGTAAAATGCTCCAAACTTCAGAATACCCGTGACTTAACCTGATTCCTCATTTTTCTTTTTTCTTCTCCCTCTTCCCCTTTCCTCACCTCTGTGCACTTGCTCTCCCTCTGTGGGCACCTAGCTCCCTTGCAGTGCTCCCCTTTCTTTGTATTTGACTGGCTCTTCTTTACCTACCTAACCTAACCTAACCTAACCTACAGCCGTCCTGCTCCACTTGTGGTTAGTGTGACTTTGTAAATGGTCCAAGTCGGACCGAAACGTCGTCTAAGCTCCTCTCTTCTATGTGCGGGTTATTTGTGTATAGTTAGAGCTAAAGGAGTAGCAATAATGTTGAAGTATAAGCCATGTCAGGGAAAGAGGGAGTATAAATGTATTAATTCAAGGATTATGTGGAGTAAAATGAAGGTTGGATGTGAAGTGGGTTATAGTAAGCGTATATGCACCTGGAGGAGAGAAAGATGTTTTGGGAATTGAGTGTATGGGTGTATGGGGAGTTTTGAACCAAGCTTGAGAGTACTTGTTGGGGATTTCAATGCTAAAGTGGGTAAAAATGTTGTGGAGGGAGTAGTAGGTAAATTTGGGGTGCCAGGGGTAAATGAAAATGGGGAGCCTTTAATTGAGCTATGTGTAGAAAGAGGTTTGGTAAAAAGTAATATATATTTTATGAAAAAGAGGATAAATAAATATACGTATAAGGTATGATATAACACGTAATGAAAGTAGTTTGTTAGATTATATATTGGTGGATAAAAGGTAGAGTGTATAAAGGTAGAAAGTTGAAAGTGAACATAGAAAAGAGTAAGGTGATGAGGGTATCAAATGATTTAGATAAAGAAAAATTGGATATCAAATTGGAGAGGAGGAGTATGGACATCTCAGCGGATGACTGTATGAAGTATGAGGTTAACCATAGAATTGATGAAGGAAATAAGGTGAGTGGTGCATTGAGGTATATAACAGTGGAGACAAAAAACATTATCTATGGAGGCAAAGAAGGGAACGTATGAAAGTATAGTGGTACGAACACACTGATATGGGTGTGAAGCTTGGGTTGTAAATGCTGCAGTGAGGAGGCAGTTGGAGGCAGTGGTGATGTCCTGTCTAAGGGCAGTGTGTGGTGTAAATATTATGCAGAGAATTCGGAATGTGGAAATTAGTCAGGGCTGAAGAGGGGTTGTTGAGGTGGTTTGGTCATTTAGAGAGAATGGATCAAAGTACAATGACATGGAGAGCTTGTAAATCTGTAGAGAAAGGAAGGTGGGGTATGGGTCGTCCTCGAAAAGGCTGGAGGAAGGGGATAAAGGAGGTTTTGTGGACGAGGAGCTTGGACTTCCAGCAAGCATGCATGAGCGTGTTAGGTAGAAATGAATGGAGACAAATGGTATTTGGGACCTGACGAGCTGTTGCTGTGTGAGCAGGGTAATATTTAGTGAAGGGATTCAGGGGAACTGGTTATTTTTATATAGCCAGACTTGAGTCCTGGAAATGGGAAGTACAATGCCTGCACTTTAAAGGAGGGGTTTGGGATATTGGCACTTTGGAGGGATATGTTGTGTATCTTTATACAGTGGACCCCCGCTTAACGATCACCTCCAAATGCGACCAATTATGTAAGTGTATTTATGTAAGTGCGTTTGTACATGTATGTTTGGGGGTCTGAAATGGACTAATCTACTTCACAGTATTCCTTATGGGAAAAAATTCGGTCAGTACTGGCACCTGAACATACTACTGGAATGAAAAAAGTTCGTTAACTGGGGGTCCACTGTACATATATGCTTCTAAACTGTTGTGTTCTGGGCACCTCTGCAAAAGCAGTGATTATGTATGAGTGAGGTGAAAGTGTTGAATGATGATGAAAGTATTTTCTTTTTGAGTATTTTCTTTCTTTTTGGGTCACCCTGCCCTGGTGGGAGACAGCCAACTTGTTAAAAAAAAAAAAAGTGTATAAATGTTGTAGGCTAAGTAAATGCTATAATAATAGCCTAACAATGCTGCTTCCTTAACCTATTGAACCACGAACAATCATAAAACGCATGAAAACATCATAAAATATTGTATATACATGTTGTGGTAACTATGTTTGGTAAATATGATTGGGCGGCTCGGCATTTGCGAATGTTCGAAGCTCGCGAAAGTGGAACTCGCTAGGCAGCGTGGTCTGAAAAGAAAAACAAAAATTCAAAAATTTCTCTTTTTAACTTGAGTAATGTATACAGGAGAAAGGGTTACTAGCCCCTTGCTCCCAGCATTTTAGTTGACTATTATGACACACACGGCTTATAGAGGAAGAATTCTGTTCAACTTCCCCATGGAGAGTTACCCAAGTATTACCTTTATATACCTACTTGGAGAGGGTTGTCACAGGGTAAAGAAGTGGTGGAAACCTGGCATATAATACAAATAAGTTGTGATTGGTGATGCATAATTTTTTTTTTCCTAGGACCACAACTGCAAACAGGGTGAAGACGATTGCAAGACTTTTCCACAACAGTTAAATCATTTTCGTTCTTTCATTTTAGCTTCCATCAGATGTCCAAAAGAAGGCCAAATTTCGTCTTGCAAGGGAGCCTCGGGACAACCCGAAGCCCGAAATGAAAGTCATCAAAGTTCCTATCCCAACTTTCCCACCAACTGCAATGGTTTATTCAGTGAATAAATATTCAGGTATGCTGACACAATTTGCAGTGTTCATAGATGTATAATTGCTTTACTGTTGCAACAATGTAGATGTACTGTATATTTGTCTTTAGTAAGTTTTATGGAAGCAATACTGTAGTCATGATATTACCAGCAACAAATATTCCAGACTGGAATACTGAAGCCATGGAGTGTGTGTACTCTGGTACTTGTGACAGTATAAAGTGTTAAGTCCCCAAAACAGTAGGCATCCTTTCCAAACTATGGTACTGTGTATGCCAAAAAGGCACTACTTACATTATACCACTCTCTAAACTACCCTTACCTCAACTGTGGTATTTATGCTGTGGTCGTAGTAGATCTCCATCACCTTCAACCATTACTAACTCAACAAAAAGCTGCTGTGTGGATGATCGCCAACTCCTGTGCCAGACGACACACCCCTCCATTCTTCAGAGTTTGAACTTAATATACAAAATATACACTCATATTATTGTGCCTACTATATACAGCCTCTCCTAACTTAACCCTTTGACTGTTTCAGCCATATATATGTATACGTCTTACGAGTCAATGTTTTGGATGTATGTGTACTCAATAATTGTAGTGGCCTCAAATCAAGCAGGAGAAAGCTGGTAGTCCCACATGTGAGAGAATGGGTCTGTGTGGTCAGTGTGCACTGTATAAAAAAAATCCTGCAACACGCAGTGCATAATGAGAGTAAAAAAAAATTCTGTTTTTGGATTAAAACGCTGACTTTGAGGTATATTTTCATATATTATTTATGGTTGTATTCTCGTTTTCGTGGTCTCATTTGATAGAATGGAAAACATATTACAGAAATAGTGGTAATTTTGATTAGGTTCACAATGAAAACTACCTTGAAATTGAGCTCAAAGTAGCAGAAATGTTCAATTTTTACCAACATTCAAGAGTAAACAAATCACACCACACGTCCAGTACACATGAACTGGGGAGTCTAATATTCTCTCACTAGTGCACTGATATTATTTATACCATTTTTACAGTAATGCAATAGTCTGCAATAAAGTAAATCTATTTTTTCTGTGAATAAAAAATAAAAATAGAAAGCAAGAGTAATGTAAGAGGGGGCCTGGAGACGTGACTGATGAACAGAGGATGTTATTTTAGTGCCAAGAATGTCTGGATTGTTTATTCTGGGCCCTATTTTGAAATTGGCATCTTCTTTAATTTGTGTAAAATTGGCCAAATTGCCAGTTTCTGACCACTTTATTGGGTAGTTAAAATTGGTAAATGGGTGGTTTCTTGTACTAAGTTGATAGAAAAAATGGAGTTCTAAAGATATTGCTATGAGTTTAGTAGACTGGAACAATGGAATTGGCCGAAAATAGGGCTCAAATTCGGCAAAATTGCCGATGTGTATATATTGCCAAAATCACTAACTTCGCAGGAGCGTAATTCCATAAGTTTTCAATCAGATTTCATACTTTGGTGTCATTACTATCGGAAAAAGATTCTGTCATTTCATAAGAAAATATGATTTTTTTTTGTTTTCAAATATTTTTCGACAGAGTGACAGTTTCAGAAAGAGGGCTTGCGACAGTCAAAGGGTTAATAACAGAGTTCCATTCCTAAGACCACATCGGTAAACGAAGTCATCGCTAAGTGAGGAGCATACTATAATTGTAGTGGGTTTGTCAACCATCTCTGATATTGTTTTAATGTCACCTTTGCACCATTTATAACATTTCTGGTATACTATTTTTAAATGTTTATACAACAGTGTACTGTATATTGTAATAAACAGTATAGAGGAAATCAGCTCTATTATACATTATTTAGGTATGCAAACTGGTCAGAGAGCCCGTTATAAGTCTGAGGTGTCTGTAAAGAAATACATCGCTAAGCGAGGAGAGGCTGTGTATAGAACATTAAACTCCAATATAAACCCTCCTCTCAAACTTCTCCTTGATAGCTACAACAGAACACAGGCACAACACAAGGCACAAAACTCTCTGATATCCCTCATATTTCTCGCACTATGCAATAATGCAATTCACATAAAGGGCTCCAAGATATGGAATTCATTGACCGAACCAGCAAAAGGTTCCCTGTCTGCCAGTCATTTTAAGACTACAGTATAACAAAAAATTACCTTTTCTCTTAAACTTAACTATACCAACACTACACTGTGTCTGAAATCGTAGAATAATTTTGAAACTACTAGAGAAATCCCAATTAACTTAAGATACCTAAATTAATGTAAGTATTAATACACACTTAAAATTGTACTATTGTAAATTGTACTAATTTTTTTTTGTTTGCAACCACTCTACTATAAATTGTACTAATTATAAAAATTTTTGCCACCCCTCTTTTTGTATTAATGTAGAATTATCATTCATCACTCCATAACCTGTCTAGTTTTAAGTAGTGTGTAAGCATTAAGCTTAGTCTGCTTGAAGTGTGTAAGCATTAAGCTTAGTCTGCCTGAAGTGTGTAAGCATTAAGCTTAGTCTGCCTGAAGTGTGTAAGCATTAGGCTTAGTCTGCCTGAAGTGCACATGCATGCTAGTGGCTTTCTTTGTGCTCAACAATATTTTACTGCATGTTAATTACACATTGTATATTATGCAAAGAAATAAATTTTTATTTTTGAATAAAAATAATGTGTACACTTGTTGCTAGTTGTACAATATGTTATGAGCTTGTGAATTAATAAAGTAGTTTCATCTTGTACAATATGCCAAAGTAGAGAGCGATTGTTGTACAAGGTGTCAAAATAAATAGCAAGTATATTTTGAGGTTGAATTTTATTAGAGAAAATTGTGATTGTTACAATATTTTTTTTTTTAACTAATGGTCAGTAGCTTAATTTATATAGTTAACCCGTAAACGGTTTAAATGTATATATACGTTGTTACTGCTAGTGCCCCAAACGTATATATACGTTTTATTTGTCATACATTCAACATTGCCACGATAAGCCTGAGTCGCCTAGACATAAGAGAATGGGTGTGCGCACTCACTATGCGCCATATTAAAATAATTGGGGATGCCTGGGTACCATATGCTCTTTTTTCCTATTAACCCTTAAACGGTCCAAACATATATATACGTTCACTCGCGTAGTGCCCCAAATTTTTTGGAAAAAAAAAAAAAAAAGAACTTATTAAAAAAAAGTTTTTTTTTTTTTCCAAAAAAATTGGGGCTATACGCAAGTGAACATATACAGTGGACCCCCGCATAACGATTACCTCCGAATGCGACCAATTATGTAAGTGTATTTATGTAAGTGCGTTTGTACGTGTATGTTTGGGGGTCTGAAATGGACTAATCTACTTCACAATATTCCTTATGGGAACAAATTTGGTCAGTACTGGCACCTGAACATACTTCTGGAGTGAAAAAATATCGTTAACCGGGGGTCCGCTGTATATATGTTTGGACCGTTTAAGGGTTAATAGGAAAAAAGAGCATATGGTACCCAGGCATCCCCAATTATTTTAATATGGCGCACAGTGAGTGCGCACACCCATTCTCTCATGTCTAGGTGACTCAGGCTTATCGTGGCAATGTTGAATGTATGACAAAGAAAACGTATATATACATTTGGGGTGCTACACGAGAGAACGTATATATACGTTTGGACCGTTTACGGGTTAAAATTTCTTAGGAGCAGGGATAGAGCACATCGGTATCTTTGCATCATGAATGACCAAATTATCCTCAATTTATTTTTTTCTAAATTATTTTGATATGACGAGAGGTACCTGGATAGTGTGGCAGTGCTCTGGCATGTTGCTTGTAGTATGATGGTACATAGGTAAAAAATAAGTATTTTTTTTTTAAGAGAAGAAAATTTGTATGATAGGAAGGAAGGGCTTTACCTCAAAAATTTATGTACATAATGATTTGGGTAAAATAATTTTTTCAGAGGAAAATGAAAAGGATGAGCCAGTGGATGCTGTGTCTGCAGCCATCATGGCTGCTGTGCTGGAAGAAAGACAACGTGAGAGAGCCAAGCGCCATTGTTCCACATGTTCCTGTGGTTCACCTAGATCTGACACTTCTGAAAATGATACCCTTCAAATGGAAGAGCTGAATGGTAATGGCAATGGTACAAGTAATTGTATATTTCATCAAGAGGAAGAGTTAAGTAGGGATATTAAATCACAGTTCAAGGTAAATGTTGTGGATGTTGGAACACAAGTGCTACCTTCATATATAGGAGAGACAGGCAAAGTACAGTCAACCTGTATCTATTGTCACTCTTCTAAAAATATGTCATCTGAAAAGGTGTCTTCACTTGACCGCTTATCTAGCAAAGCAATGAATGTGTCTCAGCACTCAAGATCCAAAAGTCAACCAATTAATCAAGTGACAATGCAGATGGATGAAGATCATAATGTAATAAAAGCTAGTGACCCATCATACCATAATAGTGTATTGAAGAGTCCAACAGCCAAGTCCTTCACATTTGGCTCCCAGTCAGGAAGTGCTTGGGACTGGGCAGCTGAAGGCCATGATTCAGGGACTCCCTCCACTCCATCTTCTCTAATTAGTGCTTCCTTAAGCTATGAGAGTGAAACAAGTAATGTGACATCACCACAGGATTCACCTGGTAGATTATCCCTAATTCCACCAAAATCTTTAATTAAATCTCCCAAAATCAGTAACACAGATATTACCAGAGTGCTTCAAGGTGTTGATGTAAGTGTGAATACTTCGCAGATGTCAAGACTAACAGGTGAGACGAGTGTGCTGGTATCAGCTGCATCACCTTACCACACTACAGGGACTTCATCTCAACGCTCTTCCAATACCAGTTCTAGCCATACGCCATCAGTAACACCTAATAGTTTTCCTCAGAGTCATTTACCACGACATCATATTGGTTGCTCATCTCCTGTTTCTACTACCTCAAGCAAAACACATGACAGGGCCAACCCTTATTTTTCACCATCTCTGGCTTCTAAAATACCATTCAGTGCTCGGTCTCCACACCAAGATGTGTTCACTCCATCGATTCACCGTTCTCCTCCTCAGTGTGTGTCCAGAGGAAGGAGAGATCTGGCCACAGATATAGTAGCTTCCAGCACTACTACAGCTTCTAGTACAGAAACAAGCTTGTGAGCTACTTGACGAATCAACCTACCTAGGTATCAGACCATTTGTACCTTTTAAATAGAACTTTGTGACAGTGATTGCTGATAAAACTAAATTACTGGTAATTCTAATTGCTAAAAAGAAATCTTAAATATTTTTTAAAATTTTACAGTGGCTATTGTGTGTTTTTTTTGTGCATTATACCTAGAAAATAAGCTATAGGGTATTCAAGAAAGATGTTAACAGCAGCCAGAAGGAACAAAGTAGGCAGTGTGATGTCAAAAGAGGTTGACAATAATATTTGAAGAATAACTATTCCCCTATTTACCAATATGTCTCTTATAAAATTTTTAAATGAACCCACATTTTCTTTAATCATGTTACTTCAGGTAATGCTCCAGGGAAAGTGGAAGGCAATAAAATTAGTTTTCTGTGCATTTTGAGAGCTGTCATAAACTTTAGTTGTGTATGGAAGTACTACCATGGCTGAAGAGTGGAGAAGTTTATTAGAATAATTTTTGTCTGTCCTGTTTGGTTTTCATCTATGGTTAATGTTTAAGTACTACAAAGATGCTTCAGTCAGTTACAACCTATCACAACCTTGAACTAAACAGACTTCATTTTTGTCACATTGTACTATCCTGGATTTCTTCATTTCTTTCTTCCAATATTAAATCTTCCATTTCAGGCATCCCCAGTATTTTTTACACATTTTAGTGGCTTCATTTCTTGTGTAAGCCAAAGTTGCCAGTTCACTTTTGTGTTAGTCAAATTAGCATGTTATGTTGTATCTTGAAACAAATGCTTGGCAAAAAAAAAAAAAATTGCATTTGCATTGGAAGAAATAAAAATTGACAGTGATTGGTGAAATTATGATAAAGCAATTGCAAGCAACTAATGAAAAGTATGGAATTTGAATGGTTTTTCAAGTCAATCCTAAAATTAGCAGGTCAGTGCTCTAGTTGGATGAGTCATGTTAGGCCAGCATGAAGAAGTGGTTAGAGCACTGGGCAGCTAATTGTAGGACTGGCTGTACATGGGTTAGAATCCTGTCTTTTGCACAAAAATAATTGACAAGGTTTCTTATGATATACAAATTCACTAGTATGCAGTTAGCTATCACTGTGACGTGAATCTCATGAAGATAGTAATGATTTTTCAGGGAGAGTTGAACTATTAATACTCCATTCAGTAGAGTATTGGTTTTGTAAATTTTTTTTTTTTGTGGTTGGTGTTCCACTTCATTTGAGTTTTACTTTCTAAATAGGAATGATACATTTTCCTTAATTAAGCCTTAATGCAAATGAACACACATCTTACTTTTTTTCTAACACCACAATTTATATGCATAAGTGTATATTTATGTACACCATAACTAGAAAAAAAAAATGGCTAAATTCCTCGGATATGATTGCCAGTGAAATATGCAATCTTTAATGATTTTTTTACACAGAATTGATACTGACAGATCCTGGACATTATTAGTAGCATGTCTTGTATATATTTAATGCTTCATAGGGGGGAGGGAAGGCTTTCAGAAGCAGCCTTTTAATGCACTTTAAAGGAGGGGTTTGGGATATTGGTAGTGTGGAGGGACATCTAAGCTGTTGTATCTGAGTGCCTCTACAAAAACAGTGATTATGTATGAGTGATGGTGAAAGTGTTGGATGATGAAAGTATTTTTCTTTTTGTTTTGTTTTTCTTTTTGGGTCACCCTGCCTCGGTGGGAAACGGCCAACGTGTTAAAAAAAAAAAACTGAAGAGTGCTGTGGATGGTCATAGAAAATGGCAAGTGCATATATATAATTAAAGGTTTACCTGTGAAACAATAGGTTGTAATAAATAATTGTAGGTTTATTGCTTAAGAAAAACAGATGTGCTAATTGGTTAATCTTTTTATTTTTGTGCAGACTCTTTATTTCTGGGTTTTCTGACCAATTGGAGGTATGGGCATTTTTTCTAAAATTTAATTGCGATTGATTTGAGGTGTCTGGTTTTCCACATTAATATGACCTCTATCCTCTACCTGTTAACTTTGCAGCCTTGACTTGCACGAAAGTAAGAGAAAATTGTAACTAATTAAAACTTAACAGTGATTGATTTGAGGTATCTGACCTTCCTTTTGTATCCCCTTCAGCCCTCGTATCTTTTGTTAATTTTAGAGTCATCACTATCAGTGGATAAAAGCCAAAGTTATCAGTTAAAAAGTCCAAACAGTAAAATTCCTTAAAGTAGATAACTTTACATCAGGTTGTATACTATAATATTGATTTACAGTGCATTACATGCTTCAGTCACTTTTTTTATTTTTTTTTTTATTGAAAATAAGTCATCTTAATGTAATAAAATTTTTGTAATAAATTTTATATTTGTGTTGTGCAGTATATATTGTATTTTTTATATGTATTTTGTGTTTTTCTGAAAAATAAGTGTTATAAAGTGTATTTTGAGTATCTGTTTAGTGATTTGTTAGTTTTTGGCAGTATACTATTTTTCAACATTGATCAAGTACGTATTTAGACAGTTTTGCTGGGAATTTTGTGTTGATAATTTGGACTGTAAATACAGTAGAATGTATAAAATGAAAAGGCATTAGTAAATCATTTAGCAACTGCTCATACTGCACCATCCTTCAGATGTTTATCTAGTGCTCTGCTTGTCTCTCTACTGCTCTTCGTTTTCCTTGATGCAGTAGTTAATTTTCTCACCAACTGAATATCTTGAGATCAAGCATGTATGAGTTTCATTTACATGAATGGCTAACTATGCAAATGTCGGTAATTTTTTTTGCCTCCCCAGTTTTTCTTTCAGGACCAGGTTTCATTGTAAAATGACTAAATGAAAAAAAATATTACTCTTATAAATAGTTTGAGCTTTAAATTTAAAGGTAAATTATGTATCATTGTACTAAGAATGAACATTTTGTTTGAGGTTTACATCTCATTATACTGTTCTTTAGCATAATCATTACTACACAGACAAAATTTACGAGAACTAAAAAATACTTCATTTGACAGAAAGCTTTTTTTTTTTTGGGGGGGAGGGGGGGGAGGTGGATATGTAGTCATGAAATTTCACCTATGTATTTGATGAATAAATAATTAATCATTTGGTTTAAGTTAGCCATGGAAGTCTGTGTAGAAATGTAACATTATTTTCTTGATGACTTGGAAGTTTTACTTAAAAAGTAACTGTTTTTGGCCACATCTACTCAGTGGTCTATTTTAAATGTGTTTAATACTTTTTTTCAAATTAAACACTGCCTTGTATGTATTGTAAAAAAAAAAAAAATGTGCTCCTCAGATTCTTGTCTAAAGTTTATAGTGAGGTTGCAAAATTTTATTTCACTTGAGTATCCTATTGTTGCAAATACAGAATAATGTTCTGCTTATGTGGATGTTTTTTGAGACTAGTTTACAGATTGGCTAACTGTACAACAAATAATATGGTTGAGAATATGTGGGAATGTTTCACATTCTTTAAGTTTAGGAATACAATAATACAAGTTATTGATGACATATTGTATATAGACACTTGTAAATAGACTTAACTATTAGGTATAGGTTAAGGAATTCTAGTCAGCCAGAGGGAAAACTGCCATTAAAAGAAGTTCTTAGATATTATCTTTATAATGGCTGTTTTCTATTGATGGTAACTTTGTGCTATTTTCAATCTTAATGGACTTGTTCACTGTTAATTGGTTTATCTTTAAATCGACAGTATCTCTTCTCTCATTTGCCCACACTATTAATCATTTTGTTCACAGTTTTGTCAGTTGCTGGCTTACTTTTTTGTAAGCATAGTTTGGTTTAGCACTTAATTTCATTATATTGTTTTTATCATTGTAAACACATTAGAAACCAACTTGAAAGAAGTTTGGTAGCTGATGGATAAGTACACAAGTACCGAAATGTAGAGAAGACTTTTTCACGTATCTGCCATACATCATGTCAGCTGTTAGTATTATGGACTTTTATCCAAGGAAGAGTTTTGACCACAAAAAATATTTATTAACCAAATGAAGGCATGCCATTTGTATTTTGCTGAAAATAATTGTAGATGGTGTCTACATACCATAGGTATTCAATATAAATGCAAAGTTTATTTTTGCATTGCAAGAGAAAATACACTATATGGAGCTGGGAGACTGGTAACTATACCCTCTTGGTTTGTGTTGTCACCATGCACATGTAATGTTTATTGAACAAAAGCATTCAGTATTATATTTTGTTGGAAATAATTGAGGTGCTGCTTACATACCTCAGGTTTTAAATACAGGGGTCCCTAATTGTGTATATCTGCACTTATGATTTGGCTTCATAGAAACCAATTACATGTTATGTCTTATGAGCATCAGTCCACTACTCTAAACAAATTACTTGCATATGGAGGCTATACTTTTAAGACTTTTGGAGGTTTATAACGTATTCAGTCACTTAAAAATTGGAGAGGCTTGGAATAAAGTCTGAGAAAGAAACAGGATTTGTATTTGGTATATAATTTTAATGGGTTTGAGAATTATATAGTGTGATAGAGAACATAGTTGACATGACAAGCCAACTTTACCCTGAGGTGGAGCTGTATATGAGGATGTAGATGTAGGTCTCGGCAGTAATGAACTCGTTGAATTAAAGGCACAAAATGTTGCAGGAGTGAAAGCTTCTGATGAGATTGCACTTCCCACAGTGAAGAGATTTGATTTGAAGAGAATAGCTAAGAAATTCAAGGTCTTTGAAATTGAACTGGCAGTATTTGAGGAGCAAGACCCAAACTCCTCAATATTTACCAGTTTCTCCAGAATTCACTCATGCCTTTGTCAAGCAATAGAAAGTTTGTGTCTGCTCACTTTGAAAAGTTTTTGAAGAAATCTTCACCATCCAAAGCTAATACTCCTGAGAAGCCTTCCTTACCACTCAAGATTCACATTGCTTAATTCCATCATTCTCTGCCTTTTCAAATTAGTCATCCACTTTATGCTGTGAAGACCATCACTCCTAGTGAGCAAGACAGCACCAGTATTCAAGGTAATTTAAAACATTGTTCTATATTATTGTACTATATTTTCATTGTTATTGTTTGCTTAACAGGTCATGATTAAGAATGTGATAGGAAACTTGCCAAAGATAGAGGCCAGAAATTAATAAACAAAGATAAGAAGGAATGAACTAAAGTGAAAAAGATTTGGTGGTAAAGCACTAGACTGAATGGAATCTTTCATTTGAGTTTGTAAAAATGGCACTGAATATGAAAGACAGAATACAAAGAATTTCTATAATTGCAATGATAAAGATGTAATGGAAAATGTGGGAGGCTGCAAATATGCACCATAGTTCCAATATGTGTACAAATGAGGACACCTTAGTTGGTGTGGCTTTTAACCCCAAACAACTAAATGAAAAATATGAAAAGGGAAGTAAACAAGCTACTATTGGTTGTAGACCCTTCAAGTGAGTGGGTTGAGTGGGGAGGGGGGGGGGGTTGACGCCTCTATGCTGATGAGGAGCTCGTGATTCAAAGAATTGGAGCTATCCTTTTCCTCGCATCAAACCTCATTGCCTCTCATTCCACTGATGCTGTATGACTATGGGTGTAGCATTCCCCATGAATATATCATGATAATCATAAATTAGATATTCCAGTTGCTGCATTTCAGATGAAGAAAGGAAGACAAAAATAGGACCAAACAACGTAGAACCTAGGTCTTTACGGAACATGCAGACAGACTTAGTCATCCATTATGGAAAAAATTTTGGATCTTGCTTCAAGAAGAAAAAATGGCATACAGTGCCAGTATTCAGAAAAGGGGACAGGATGGAATCTTTGAACTATAGTGAATGAAACTCTTGGAGAGGAAAAAAATCTGTATTCTTTGAGAGCAAAAGGTTGCTTATTAGT